ACGCGTGACAGGACAACAGCGCGTGTTCGTTCTCCACTGCATACACCTGTGGTCCGGAGTTTTGCAGGTATCTCAGCACTTCATACGAGTTGTATTAATTGAATTAAAAGCCATTAGAATGTAGACATCGTTGCCTACAAAAAAAACTCGCTATCCTGTCTTATTAAGTGCGAACTTTGGCTTTCTGTAAATAACGAAATGTGTTCTCTTTACTTTTCTAGGTCAGCTCTCATATTTCAAATGCAGAAGCAAATGAACAAGGGGTGGAGGTTAGTCCCAGTAGAACACGGTGATGTTCTCCAATGTATCGTTAATGTTGGCGATGCTGTTGTTCTGTAGCAAACTTTAGAAATTTGAACTTTCTTTACTCTTTTTCTTTTTTTTCTCTTGAGCTTCTTTTTTAAATCCCACTTCTAAGCATTTTCTGAACTGAAAAAATTGGAAAGAAATTGTAAACATGGAAATCGAGCAAGCATCTACCATAAATCCATAAAGTTTAGAACTTCTAAAATACTCTAGTGACCAAGGAACTGTACATAGGACAATTTATTTTAAAGAACCTCAACTATCTATTATATAAACTTGAAGGAATTGTATAATTTAGAAAATTCACTCAGTCCTCTTTAGAATCAACTTGTATCACTGGCAACGTAATGTGAAAAATATGCTGCGAAATTTCATATAGATCTCATGCGTCATGTTAACCTCAAGAGAAAAGCTTTGGGCGTTGACTAGTCTATGAGGGAACGCCATGCATTCGGCTCAATCAATCATCGTTAGAGATGATTGATTGTACGTTTAATATAGACAGTGAGTTGTTACACGTACCTAGGGTCAACAAATTGCCAAGCAAGATTTTTATCCTCCCAGAGAAATCCAGCTTTAAAACGCCGGCACCGAAGAGTAGAGGGAATGGAGAGCTGAGATCGCAGAATCGAACAAGCCCTGTGTGTATCACGTAACATCTACAAGTACTGCTCAACAATAACCACAATCAGTTTTACACTTATAGAACCTGGAAACACACCCGGTGCAAAATTCTTACCAAAACTCTCAAGTATTAGAATTGCTGAGAAACCCACTATCACTTCTAATTTATTGCTCCAATTTAACTAATACGAAGGATAGAAATCGATCGAATCGAGGATGAAATTTGATTTGCTCGATTTACCCTGACGGTGCATTTTCTCTGTCAATGAGCGTGGTACAGATAATTAAATGATCGGCTTCAAATCAACTGTTACACTCTTAAATGAACGCGTTACTTAAACAGGGAGTTAGGTGAATGTGATTATATCACGTAGTCCACTTACCTGGACGCATAACAACTGCATAGAAGCGTTTTAAAAGCCGTCTTTCATTAAACATCGGTAGCAATAACCAGTTGTTTCCGTACGATGAAGCCGACACAACGTTAGTGTAAAAACTTTTATTCGGGTAACGTTTCGGCACTTTCTCCCTCTTCAGAGTCAGGTTAGTCCGAATTGATGGCCCACAGTTAGGCGCTGTCGCAATCTGGAGGCTCACTGTCGCATCGAGTCGAATCCAGTGGGTGAAGCACGGCACGTAAATGGCTAACATTACTCGGCGGTGCCTCTAGCAAGCAAAATACCTACTGTTACAGGATGCATTGTCCTCCCAAAGTAGATCATATTGGAAGTGGCAATCGAACAACATCTATCCTGCATGAAAAAGGCACCGTGGATTGAAGTTCACCACCCTGCATTTGACTCGGTGAGACAGCGAACACCCACATCGTGATGGCGGACAACTGTGGACCCTGGACTCGAATCAACGCGGCTCTCAGGTAGGCGAAGACGCCGGAACGTTAGCCGAACAAAAGTTTCTATTTTAACCCTGGATTGGCTCCGTCATATTGAGAATCGCAAAAAAGTAATCTAATCATTCAATTTAGAGGAAACACGTGGACACTTTTCATCTTGTCCAACAGTTCACCTTTTATAAATTTCTACACTTTGTGTCCTTACGCGCTTTCGAAAACACTGGGCAGTGCAGTTCATGGAATAAGAGTATTCTGCTAGTGATAAAATAGTATTTATAAATGGAAACAGGGATTTTGGCCGTTGTGGCGGTCAGAAGAGAAGCGACTACGCTGTCAAATCTCAGAGTCGCAGATAGCATTAATGAGAAAATGAGCACCTCTAGTACATATTATTGAACAAGTCATTATTTCATAGTAGTAGAGGATTCAACAACTAGAAAGTAGGCTTGAAATTTGACCGTAACACTTTTACTTCCATCACGAATACTAATATTTCCAACGATAAAGAACGAGAGCGCTCCGTTTCAGGATTGCTGAAGTTTTTCCTTGGAATTTTCGCATTAAGTATCCGTCGGATCATTAAGAAGGAAATGCATGTTTTAATACCAGATAATGTAGTTTTCATATTATACCTATAGTATACAGACGAAACGAAGGATCCCCATGGTGTGGCGGTGAACGTGTTAGCCCCCAGAATGGGTAACAGTGCGCTCATTCTCCACCGCAGACACCTGCGGTCCGGAGTTTTGCAAACATCTCAGCACCATTGTGGTTATGAATGTAGTTTTTATTTATTTTAAATACGTGTTATGTTAAGGCTCAATACAAGTTTTTGAGAGTCGTGTTTTTAACATTTCCAATAATTCTTTTCGATTTTTTTGTGAAAAAGAATACCGTAGCATATAATCTCGTATGTAGAATGTTTATGTAAAAAGTCTGCAAAAATAAGTAAAATTAATAAACATGCAAAAGATCAACATTTGTTATTCATAGTATTTTCTTTTTGCAGAGATGGATGTGGTAAGACGAAAGCATGTCTCTTCAAGCCGGCTGGTTGTGATCCAAATCTTGATTGTACAATCGGTTTAATATTTTCCGTTGTGGGACCAAATAAGTTGCGCATAGAAATGGTAGCGACTTCGTTGATACCATCTGTACAGCAGCAATACATTGCTATTGGGTTCTCGAACGACACCATTATGGCAAGTTCTTTACAAAGTGTTTACAGCTCTAACCCTTTCGCTGATTGCGATTATTGATTGCTTTCGACTCTTTTCGATCAGATCGACTCGGATTATTACATCGCTGTCGAGTGCTCGATCGCCTGTTCACAAAATTTCCTATCGTACCTAGAAAACTCGAGTCAAAAGGCAGTAAACTTTTTTTTGATCCCCAACAGCTGTCAGCTTTCATGCCTGTGGTGACGATTTGAAAACGCCTAGGAACCGCTATCTCAAGGCTCCTGGGAAAGCAAGCGTTCGACCAGCAATCAACATGTTGTTGAAGAAAGAGGCTCAAAAGTCTTGCTGTCGCAAAACAACTCAAAACGATTGGAAGTGTTGGGAATGCTGTGATATAAAGATGAAGAATCATCTAAACATTGATTCGTTTCATCTTCAAACTATCTTAGCAAGTACTCGTTGTGCGGCTTGCAAACGAATTCCCTCCAACAGAAGTCGGGGAAGCAAGACCACGCTTAAACTGCGGAAATAATCTGCTTTTTGTCAAACCTAAAAACGTATAATATGGTGCAAGATTATCGTGGTTTACAGTAACATTTTATTTATTTCTTTATTTTTATATATTTATATTTTATATTATATTTTATATTATATTATTACATTATATATTATTATATCATATTATATTATATTATGAAATATATTTATATTTCCTTATTTATTTTATTTAGTAACATTTTATTTGTTTTATTTATTTTATTTTATTTATTTTATTTAAATTTATTTCCTCGTATTTCATCAAGGTTTAACTGTTCGGCAGTTCTAGCAACACATTGTCAATTATCTAAAAATTTCATGCTTACACTGTTCACAATTTACCCAAAGCTTTCCAGGGAGATGACTACGTGACCGAATGCGTGTTGAGCAACATGGGAGAGTTTTCCGGATGGGAACCGGAGGTTTTCGTTTCGTACAACCACGGAAAATCAAATGATCGCATTTTCCTGAATGATGTATGTCTATTTGAAGTTTTGCCTAACTTCAATAATGAGAATCTTCACCTAACTGAAGTTGTTAAAGAAGTTTAATTATAGAAATTTACACGGTTTTTCGCTCCATTAAATTATTCCGGTATAATCTAAGAGAGGAGCAGCGCTTCTTATTCATTAATCCATCCCTTCATTCATTTGAAAGTATACTTTGCTTTGAAATCCCATTGATGGTTCGTTGGTTCCTTCAACAATAATTCATCGGTCTTTCTACAAGTATTTAACCGAGACTGGCTTACAATTAATTGGCTTTTCATTCGTACGGGAGTTTCGAACTTCTCAGTTTGTGAAATCATGTCAAGGCGTTAACTATATGAACAATCTACTGAACATCGTGTTCACATATATGAGAGAAGTAATGAAGTCAAACTAATGGAAAACAATCAAAGGTGAACACAGAAAGGAGTTCCGCGGTCATCTACTTGATGGTTATTGAGCAATCTTAACCGTTTTATTTACTGCCTAACCTTTTTTCTAATGGCAGGGTATATTCCGAAATATAACTTCAGGGATGCTGAGATATTTGCAAAACTCCGGGCTGCAGGTACCTGCGGTGGGAAACGAACGCGCTATTGTCCTTTCCGGGGAGTAACGCGTTCAACACTACACCATGCGGGTCCTTCGTTTCGCCTCTCATTTAGTTCCATCGATCTCTGCCATCAGCAATCACCCGTCAGCGGGCAATATATATCCTGCTGTTAAAAAGAATAGGCAGTAAATAAAAAGGTTCAGATTGTGATTATAACTATAGCCTCAGCTTAACTGGGTTCAGTGCCGACTTGGGCTCCCCAGATCAATCCCGTTGACGGGTGATTGCTGACGGCACAGATCGATAGAACTAGCTGAGAGACAGGTGAAAAGAATGACCTTCATGGTGTAGTGGTGAACACGTTACTTTCCGGAAAGGACAGTAGCGCGTTCGTTCCCCACCGCAGATACGTGCAGTCCGGAGTTTTGCAAGCATCTCGGCATCGTGGAGGTTATTGAATGCTTTCAAGCACCAATACTATAGAATCTATGGAAACAAGGATTTATTGCTTTTTAGAATGTTTTGCCTATTTGCATAATACTAATATTTTCCATCGTTTTCCTGTTGCATTTAAAACGTTTCCAGTAACACTACTAGTTCCAATAATATAAAATAATAATACGACACAATAAAAACAATACCAATGACCAGAAATAATCCTCAGGATGAGCATCGTGCGCTGATTTCGAACATCTCGTCGCATGTGATCGACGGTCGTTTGGTGTGTCATTTCACTCAACAGATCATTCCTCAAATAGATCGTAAAAACGGGCTCGTCGGAAACCTCGACAAGGACTTCTTTATCATGGGTGCTACTGGCAGCGCTCAACCAGACGGTACGTAGTGGAAGTTGCGTAGTTGAGGAAAATTCAAGTAATAAAAAACTTCCCGAATTATGAATAAGTTATAAACCGTATTTCAATAGGTTTGAGTATTGTGGCCAAGGTTTTCCCACTCTTTTGGGTTCGTTTAGCATTCTTTCGTCAGCTACCAACGTGACACTGAAATCTTTATTCCCATTAATAGGTTCTAATTAGAGGATTTCTAAGAAAGCGATAGAAAAACTGTTTTGCGTGCTCTGATGAAGTAGAAGCTCAGCTACTGCAAACATTCTGAAGGCGAACTTTGACTTTTAAAGGTTGACGTCCTTATCGAAGTTGGCTTTTTGAAGCAAATATCGATAAGAATGATTATTTTTCAAATACATAACAGTACGCCTCTGATCCAAGTCAGTGTTTCAGAAGTGAACGCTCACGATACGAATCATGGTTCACATTTCTATCCGATTGTGTCTTCAGCAAAAATTAATCCTTCGCTACTCCACAATGTTAAGGTCAGTTTGTGGAAACCTTTGTGGAAGTGCACTATATTTCAAACTGAGGATCGCAATAAAACAGACAAATAGCAAAATACATCTTAAAACGAATGAAAGTATCAAGACCTTTTTCAAGAGTCGAAAGCTTTCTTTAGTTCATTATAATGTTGATTCACATCCTTTGTTTATGGCTCAACTTCGTTCTAGATTTCGATTTTTTTCCCTACCAAACACTATTTATTTAAGACTTTTCAGGCACCAGAAAACGACCAGTCACTAGACGCAAATGTGATCCCACCATTGCTGGTTGGCAGTTCATCAGTTACACCATCCACAGAAACGGGCACCCTCGCTTCAAGCACATACTCAGTAACGGTCACCTCGTATACTCCATTACTGAGCTCATCGCTTTCCGTCACAGTTTTACTCCTCCGACTATTGATTTGAATATTGTGGCGTAAATAGGAGTAACTCCCACGTCCGACTTTCTATTAACCTCGGCATTGATTAAATAATTCCTTCTGCTTCTGTTCAGCAAACATGAGGTGTTATTTTACTTCTTTATTTACGGATAAGCTGAAGTTTCGGCGGATTTCGTTTTTCTCAGAGTTTGGAAAGGTCAAGTTGACAGCATTCTATTCGGCCAAACGCCTCCATAACCAAACAGAGAAAACGCTAAACCAAGATTCCAATCACATTTAACCGAATGTTTGGTGTTTGGCCGAATAGATTGCTGTCAACTTGAACTTTCCAGTCTCTGAGGAAGGCCAAATCCGCCGAAACGTCAGCTTGTACGTAAAAAAAGCAGTAAATCGGTGTCTTCATACTACATGATCTGTTTCGAGATATTCTTCACCCTACCGTACTGTGATGGAATTCAAAATGCTTAGAGTTGTTCCTGTTTATGAAATATGGAAGCGGCCTTTTGAAATCAAGCCTTTTTCGGTGATAGAACACAAAGCTTTTCAGTCAGATAATGCTATCCCATCTCTTCACATACCCAATATTCCCTATGTTCTCGCTGAATCACAATTATCATTATCATACCTTATATATTGATGTGCCCTCTTTATTCTGCTAAATGTTCCATCATAAATTTGACGGGTGGTCACCATTGTACATATCATACTCTGCCTAAAGCAACCAGGAATAAAAACAAATTTCAATAATTAAACTTTTAATTAACAAAATAAACTTTTGGAAACCGGCATTCACTTAACCTCGGCATATCTAATCAATGTTTTCATAGGTTATTAATCTGAAACAGGACTGCCATAAAATTTCATTTTTCTAGCGTTCCAGTGTGTTCCTTTTCTTTATAGCATCATTGATCCAATTCGACTGCTCTTAGCTGTTCCCGTGAAATGGGTGTTAGTGCACGGTTATAGTTGAATTTTCTGGTGTGGAGCACCACTTCAGTTAAGGATCTTGTTTCTGAGATGCCCCTTCAAGATTTGATCCACTCACGCAGATGACTGTTCCCATTCATATTCATATGCATACTTTAGTAACTTGTTAGATTAGGAAGCATAAAATTGTCATGTTCATTTTCACCTTAATTGCCACCAGCAATAACATTTGTTATTCTGCTACAGATTGCAACGATCGTCGATCTTTATATTCCCATAACCAACTTTCTTTTAACCTCGGCATTGATTGAAAATTCGACGTTTTTCTTCAATCAGCAGGCACTAGGATCTTTATATTAATTAATACAATCCTAGTCCTCTTAACGGTTTATCGCCTCATTGTGACTAGGTGTTCTTGGATGTCGGACTGTGTTGTACAGCGTGGGATTCGTCCCCCGGCAGGGTCTCCCGAGCTGAGGAGTCCGGTGTTTCCATCAGAAAACACAAACACACACACTTCACCTCACATCACCTAACACCATCATAACAACACCTCAATCCATACATCGTCGCAGGATCCACACTCAGCACCATAATGTCGCACTTCCCAATTAAGCACCTACTTTCATAAACTCTTTGCTAATAAGATAGTTGCAGAAAGCTATGTTTAACGCCACGAAACAAATACTCTGTTAATTTATGGATTTAATGAAGTGAACGATATGTGGAAAACAATCGGGATGCGATAGAAATACCAGTTAGTCGACAATTTATTACGCCAAATTATACGTACAAAAATTTTTGTATTATATATATTAAAGTGTTATGGTTAACGACCGAGGTCAACGAGACTGTCGACATGGCAATCAATAAATCAATAATCAAGCAAGAAAATGTGTTATGGATGGCGCTTTAAGTGGTCAGAGGAAAATAATAGAGTTCAAACTAAGTGAAAACACTTTAGGCTTGAGAACGTTCTTCGATCATGGTGTCCATGTTGTTGTTCTGCTCGCACGATTTCTCCAAATAGTATCGTATATCGTTGTCGATTTGCTTGAAATGTACGTGACAGTATAAAGAGCCGTCTTTGTTACGATGTACCCGCTCCACACTAAAATACGATATTTCAAAAGAAAAAACAGACATTGTGGTGAAAATCAAAGTAGGTTATATTCAAAAGGTTCAGTATTAAGCAGATCGTCGTTTATCTGGCAAAATTACCGCTGCTACTGGAACAGATAACTACAAGTCGAATTCTATTCTCATCCACGTCATATCGTTCTTCAAGGTTTATTTGAAGCCACGGGTCAAGGATAAAGTGTTCGGGTTTGATCAATCCCTTAAAGATGCACTAACTTTATTCGTAGCAACGCCGAAGTGAATGAATGCATGTTTTGCCTATACAGTGACTTGTAGGAGATTACTGATATCTTAAGTCAGTATTTCCGTCCCTCGACTAATCTGGTACGAACTTTGCGATCCCAGAAGGAAGAAGTCCTTGATTTGCACAAGACGCCGGAACGAACCAGCGATCACGTTTTCTAATCAAAAAAAAAAAATGAGAAAGATTATATCTACGACACTCACCGAAGTGCTTGGCGACATATTGTACATCGAAAACAGTTCACATGGTACTGCACACCGAAACATTCGAACTGTTCGGCTCGGTATACGGTAGTCCCGCAAAGTGCGCATTTCGGTTGAGGACGCATTACGAAACGCTGAACAAAACAGCCACACGGTCATGCATGTTAGATCAAACCATTACAAGATATTATGTGTTATGTTCGGTCCAAAAGAAACGTAAAAAGGATAGTCAAGGTCTCCCCAATGGAGTAGCTCGGAGCCACTAAAATGCAGCCGAGGTAATCAAGAAAAGAGCTAAAGCTAACCGAGCAATAAAACTGTGAAAAACTCAATAAGTGGAAAATTTTGTTGATAGGCGGTATGGGAAGGATAAGATCTTAATACAGACGTTGGAATTCCATTGACGATCTGATATTTTCATGGGTACTTTTAGTTTATCGATTTTGGTTTAACAATGAAAATTTCGGAGAAATAGCAATGAAATCCCTTTGATGAATTGAGGATAGAATGTAAGCATCTCATAGTCTTTAGATTAGAAAAGCAAACGTGTTAGTTACTTAAAAGCAACCGTCAGTATGCTGACTGATTAGTTTCTATTTAAACTGGTAGTTATGGATTTGTATATGGATAGACTAAACACTACGATGGTCAGTAGGTTAATCACGCCCCACCGCACACTCGACAAATGTGTGTACAGCGAGTCACGTCGATAACCTTTATCAAAAATAAAATTAATAAACCAGAAAAAAATAGCTGAGTGGTGGCAAATCCACTTGCGAAAACAATGGAAAGATTCTAAATCATGACCCAGAACGACTAGTTTGTTATGAGTATTGGACATAGACAGGATGTTTCATGTTGCGGTGGAGGCGCAGAGAAACGAGTGATTTGTGACAATACATTAATCGAAAAAAAAACATAATAAAGTATTGACAAAGTGTTTGGTGGGTGTGAACGATGCGAGATGTTGTGGATGTGCTGTCGTAGTGCTCATTGGTCCTGTAAAGAATTATCGATCGACAAAGTAAAGCGAACTAATTATGTCATTGGGTTAAAGTATCTGTAAACCATTAAGATCTGCAAAAGACTTGCCACGTTTTATGCACGTTAGTTAAGGCGAAAAAACGAGAACTCAGACGTGAAGAAGACGAAAACCGATAGAAAACGATTTCAGACAGACAATATGTGGATGAGCTAAGCGAAGTGGTTAGAATATTTTCGATAAAAAAAAACTAAAAACTAAAAGTGAAGCAATGCTTCTATTTGTTGCCAGTACTGTATTGCTACGTAAAACATGATTAATCCGATGCCGAGAGTGATAGATCGCTGAAATGACACAAGAGTAATGAGTCGAAATCCGAGGACCATTCTCTGTTATCCAGGAAAATAAGGGTATTAGCTGGTTCCAAATGAATGAAGTTACTGTAAAAAACACCGAGTTGGATTTGATCAAAAAATTAGTTTATTATTGTGCATAATATAGTGCACAGACGGCTAAGATGGTTTGATAATGTGACTTTAGTTGGGTGCATTTATGATCTTCTTGTGTAAGCACCAATTTAACTCATTATGTTCTTAAAACAAACGACAGCAGTTAAAGACAGTTAAAACGGGGCTGAATACATTATAAATGGAGATTTGTGATGAAATCGATCAGTCAGGAAAACGGTTGAAATAGAGCAATGTTGATTCGAAGCCACATCGCATCAAACTTAAAAGTGGCGACCTTACCGTAACCGGCTTCTTCTCGGGCATTCGGCTTCTCTCGGCTTTCTTGGCCTCTTTTGCTTGTATCTTCTCCCACTTTGCAGCCATTTTTGCAGCATGTTCAGCCTGAAGATAGGGTTTTCTCGCGTAAACGATAAATAACATGTCCGACATCTCAGCAAAAAGTCATCATTAAAGGATTCAAAACTGATCTATTTTCTGGAGGGAATGGGGATGCTAACGTTGTGAGAAAAATAGGTTGACTTTGAAGAGGAACCCTAGTGGTGTGGTCATAATTACCAACCTACTAGTGCGATCTTTTTGAATCTTCAAAAAGACCATAAAGCTTGTTAGCGGACGCTTTCATTCTCAAGAAATAAACTCATTTAAAAGTTGCTGTGAACTCCACTTTAGAAACATTCACAACGCTTACATACTTTAATGTGAACGTCATCTTTCTCAACACCTTTCTCTTGCTGCATTTCCATTGCTCGCTCTTCTTCAAGACGTCGCTGCGCTTCTTCCCGTTCCTCTAAAAAACTTCACCTTTTGCAAGTAGTCGAATCAAAGTTATACAATGGAACCATTATCTTCTGAACTCACTTCTAAGCCGTTCAAACTCATCCTGCATTTGCCGCCGTTTCTCTTCGGTCAGATCGGAATCGTCATCAATACCTTGCTCGAATCGTTTCTTCAAACTCTTCGCTTCGGATTTAATAGCTTCCAATTCAGCACGTTGCTCCCTGGATATCAGTAACTGATGTTATCTACTTTGGGTTTAGATGTCTCATGAATTTATTGGAAGAGATCAACTAAAAAATGTCCTACTAAGAAGAATAGATAATCTCTGAATGTTGAGTGTGGTAGAGATAAATCGTTCGTTCTGGTCACATAAGAAAGAATGACGTAATCCACTTGGATATTTTCATTCACATTGTAAGGCGTGTATTTTTTTGTGAAGAATAAAAAATAGACCCACGTGCTCAAAGTAGTGGATGCCGGAGATGCTTCACCTAGTTGTTTGAATTTGTTCATCAGATTTTTGACATCAAATGCATCGTCATCTTCTGGCTCATCGTCTGAATCAAAAAATAAGTGTGATCAATAAGTATTTAATCAATTACCTGGCAGAATTGAACTTTGTGGACTAATAGATGCTTTTTCAAGCTTGTTACATATATATATATATATATATATATCGTGATTTAAATTGACTCCACGAATATATCATCATCAGGTAACAATGCAGAAAGCAAAAGTCATAATATCATTGGTAGGTAGCCTACGGGCATTTTAATCCTTTTGCTTTTATTCTTCTCTCACAGGTAACCTTCCGGTGAGAAATGTGGAACTACACAACTTTGATTACGGTAGCGGAACATAAAGATCAAGATCAGTTTTATAGTTCGACTTAAACCATTGTAGAAGAAAAAACATAAACTTACTGTCTTCGGCAACTCTTCTGTTGATGATTTCGGCCGCAGGACGATCTTCTCTTTTATCCCATTTGCTGGGCTCATGCTGAAAAATGATTTACACCATCCAAAAATTACTGTAAATTGCGAGCTCTATGTCGTTCATTTCTTCATTAGGACGCTCACTACAGCTTTGCATTTTATAAAGAATGACAAAAATGAGAATCTAATAAAAATTTAATGGTAACTTCCTTGCTTACGTAGATGAGGCACGTTTTGTTTCCGTTTTTCACAAATGGATTTTGTCATAGAAATCCGAAAACCGTAAAAATAATCTTTCGCTCACCTTCTTAGTCTGATTTGGAAGAACCGGTGTTGCTGCAGAAGCATCGATTTGCATGAACTTCTCCCTGGCTTTCCCGGCCATCTTAATCTCGACATCAACTCCTCTTTCTATAAAACAAAAACTTTATAAAGTTCTATTTCGGTCGTCTTCTGGCTCTGTCACGTTTTCATCGAACCAATTATGATTTACTAAAATTATTTTTAAAAAGCTTTATGTAACCAAAACTGCTTAATATAGCAATTTCTTTTCAATATATTGCTGTTGTATGGCAATTAAATTCCTACTCCGGAATCACGGTTTTTTAACAGTAAGTTAGTTCAAAAGAACGACAAAAAATGAAAGTTTGGTGATCTACAAAAGACATCTTCAAAGGTGAATGGGAGGACATCAACGATGCAACTGAAGTTTGGCTTACTCCGAAAGAAACGCAGTATAGTTGCAAGGATCACCCGGAAAACCATGGAAAGATAAATGTCTTAATGTTAAATTTTTTATTTACTGCCTATTATAATTTTTCACGGCAGGATAGTATGTGTGATATAACAGCCATGAAGCTGAGAGATTTGCAAAACTCAGGACCGCAGATGTCTGCGGTGGTAAACGAACGCGCTATTACCCTTTCCGGGGGCTAATGCGTTCGTCACCACACCATGCGGACCCTTCGTTCTGACTGTCTATCAGCTAGTTCTATCGATCAGCGCCATCGGTAATCAACAGTTAACGGGATTGATCAGGGTACTCTAAATCGGCAGTGAACACAGTTAAGCTGTAGTCGCAATCGCAATGTTCACTTTCTAATTGGGTTCACCACCGATTTGGGCTCTCCAGATCAATACCATTAACGCGTGATTGCTAATGGCACTGGTCGATATAGCTAGCCGAGAGACAGGCGAAACGAAAGACCCGCATGGTGTGGTGTTAAACGCGTTAGCCCCCGCAAAGGGTAATAACGCGTTCGTTCTCACCGAAGATATCTGCGGTCCTGAGTTTTGCAAATATTTCAGCGTTATTGTGGTTTTATCACACATAAAACCCTACCGCGAAAAACTGTATTAGGCAGTGTATAAAAGGTTAATATCTTAAAAGATCGTCATGAGAAAAGGATTGGAAGTAAAGTAATTCGATACCATCTACTTCGTGACTCTTGAACGCTTCTCCTTTATCGAATCGATCTTTGATCGACCCGACATCGGCCGCATCTTCTCCAGGACCCACAGAAGACACGTTGCCTTCTTCAGCCTGAAAGGGAGAACAGGTCAATATTATTAGATAAAAAGTTGGTTTTCCTTTCAAATTAAACCTTTTTTGTTATGAATTAGACGATAGGTTCAATTCTTAAAGAACGGTTTTGTTGTTATACATCCACCATTCACAACGACAGGCATTCATTTATTTAAATAACAATGAAATCTGTGCTCTCTTAGTTGCTAGGTAAAGGATTGACGATTAAGCTGTCGGCGTTGAACAATCTCTACGGGATGTGCCATGCATTCGACTTCATCAAACATCGTTTATTGAGGTGATTGAACGCATATCTGGCCTAAACAATGACTCGCGGTGGCTAAAAGGTGTGTCGACACATTGTTGCTATCCTCCTAGACAAGTCTAGCACCAATTTGCCGAGCCCAGAGAGATGGAAGGCTTGGTGAACTTGGGGCGCAAAATCAAACTCATGCGTATTGGAGGGGTCCCTTACCACTGTGCTAAATGCGTCCACTCTCTACTTTTCTAATCACAGCTTTTTAGCTTCTTGGTATCAGAAGAATTTTTTCATTCACCGGACCTCAGCTTAGGAGAAAAAAATCACTGACCTGTTGCTTGGCTCGTTCAGCGGCGGCTCGTCTCGCTAATTTGTATCTCAAAAATTCAGCTTCGATTTCCTTTTTCTTCAAGGCAGCACGTTCTTCTGGTGACATCTCTTCGTCTCCCTGAACGATCTATTTTAGTACGTAACACGCAATTCTATTAAAAAAGGTGCTAACCTAACTAGGGAATAATTCCGACTTACAATCTTAACCTTTTTATTTACTGCCTATTTCTTTTAAGGGCAGAATATGTTGCGAAATATAGCTTCAATGATGCTGAGATATTTGCAAAACTCCGGACCGCAGGTGTCTGCGGTGGGGAACGAACACGATATTGTCCTTTCCGGGGAGTAACGCGTTCACCACCACACCATGAGGGTCCTTCGTTTCGCCTGTCTCTCAGCTAGTTCTATCGATCTTTTTCCATCAGCAATCATCCGTTAGTGGGCAATATATGCCCTGCCGTTAAAACGAATAGGCAGTAAATAAAAAGGTTAATGTGATTATAACTATAGCCTCAGCTTAACTGGGTTCAATGCCGATTTGGGTTCCCCAGATCAATCCCGTTGACGGGTGATTGCTGACGGCAAAAGATCGATAGAACTAACTGAGAGACAGGTGAAACGAAGAACTCGCATGGTGTGGTGGTGAACGCGTTACTCCCCGGAAAGGACAATATCGTGTTCGTTCCCCACCGCAGACACCTGTGGTCCGGAGTTTTGCATATATCTCAGCATCATTGAAATTCCTATTTACAATGTTTAACGTTTTGTTTTCTGCCTTCTATAATTTTCATGGCAGGTTACTAAGCGAAATACAACCACAACGTTGCTGAGATATGTGCAAAACTCTGGACCGCAGGTGTCTATGGTGGGGAACGAACGCGCTATTATCCTTTCCGGGGAGTAACGCGTTCACCACCACACCATGCGGGTCCTTTGTTCCTATTCCTTTATATTCCTATTCCTAGGAATTTGTATTCCTATTTACGTTCAAACAACAATTTTAGCGAAAATGAATAACGGAAAGAAGTCACTCTATAGTTTAAAGATGATGCGTTAGGCGATTACGTGTAATTCAAAGACTTAACCAATAATTTTCGGCAATATACAAATATAAGACAATGTCACGCTCGTTGTTCTTTTTTCAAGTGCTTAAAATATTGATTAGTGGCTCGCAAGGAGTTCGTTACATACGTGCGGCTATCCACAGTGTAATAACTGAGTAATAACTGAAGACAACGTATTATAAAAAGTTGAACGATAAAGCTCCCGCCGTTGAACAGTCTCTGAAGGAAGCGCCATGTATTCGACTTTATTAGTATCGTTGGAGGTGATCGAATGCATACCTGGTCTTCACAATGATTCGCGGTCTCCTACCGATGTATCGATCCAGTGCTGCTATCCCACCAGATAAGTCTGGTATGGATTTGCCAAACCCGGATGGTTGGAGGGATTGGTGGGCCTAGAGTGCGGGGATCGATCCCGTGTGTATTTGCAGGGCGCCACCGACCACTGCGCTACAAGCGCTCACTGAAGACTTTTCTTAGCAAGTTTTTCAAGAAGACAAGATACAGCAATGATAATGATATGAGAACAACTAAAAAACCACCGAAATACTATATTTAGCTGGGAAAATATAGGGTAGGGGATAATATAGCACTCTTTTGGAAAAGTGTTCAGATTAAGTGGCAAATTTGTGTAGCAATTTACCTAACAAATAGTTTTTATGGGAAAAAGATTTAGAAAGCGAATTGAAAAAAGATTGACAAAAATAAAAAAAAATTTTAAGAGATTTATGACAAAAAATGATAAAAAGGCTTAACAAGAAACAGTCACTTTAACAGGTCTACGAACAAGTAATTCTTCTGACTGAAACTCTGCCCTTTGTTCAAAACGAACAGCTGGCCGTCAAAAAACTAAGAACCAGATGCGGAGGATGGATATATGATGTAGTGAAACAGGAAGAGAAGGGAAAGAAACCGAGAAACACGGTAAATGATAGAGAAAACTGGTGCGAGGAAATGAGTTCTACTCTGTGATGAGAATCCATAACGTGAAGTCTGAATGTTAAGCACTCGCTTTAAAGCTCAAATTTTGCTCTTCATTTGTAAACAGACTTTTCGTTTTCGATATTAATTTGTAGTCAATTTATTATGTTCTAATGGAAATGAAAAGGTCTAGGAATTTTACATGGACGTAGAACAATGCAACCATTATCGAATATTAATGTTGAAGGCCTCCGGAGAACCAGAATAGAAGCTCAGTTTAAATAGGACGAAGAGCCGGGAACTATCTTCAGGTATTCTTTTCTGAAAGGATCCTTATCGCATTCTAAACACTATGAAGGACGTATATGGAGGACTGAAGTATTTCTGGAAGTGAAATTTCCATCATGAGAAGTTTTTCGCGTATTCGACGGGTAGAACCATAGTATTCACCATTACATTCTGAATTCTGACGAATAGAGAAAAATAAAACAAATACAGTAGAGGAATACTGTCGAAAAATCAGACATCATCAGCATTAGATCAGAAATTTGTGGCAAGCATTGATAGATTGATTCGGCCATATAAAGATGTTCTCAACTTCTCAGAAGTTACGGTCCGGAAACTGAACGAACAAGCCTATAAGATTATTACGCACTTGTTTTGCCTATTAAGCTGACCAGAAACAGTTGAATGATTCAACAAACATTTAGGAAGATATTCGCCCATCTAGATGTAACCAAAACGGCCTCTACTGAAGCCGCTTCATTGAATGTCGAATTCAGTGACCCATACTTTATGCTGGAATGTTAAACATTGAATCACATCTAAAGGCACACTGATTTCAATAGCTCTTATTCCGTACTATGACCAGATTGAGTTTTGAAAGCAAAAACTTATGAAAAGCATTTCTGACGTAATATCGAAATCTAAGCATATTATGTTTGATGGATTCGACTGCAAAAAGATGAAGCAAAGCAAGAAAGAACGTTAAAAACTTCACTAAATGGAAACTACAGTGAGCACTTGGATAAACACGGAAATTTTAAAACATTGGCAAATTAATTTATTCCTCGATTTCCAGTCCTGGAGTGGCTGTGATCGATTGAGGGCGGGTAGCACAGTGGTAGTGACGGCGATCATCACGAACGCCGTGCTTGTTCGATCCCGCTCTAGGCTCATCCGGTGTCGGTAGATTGGCAGTGGACTTGGGTAGAAAAAGTTCACTCTCTACAATTCAAGTGGGGACGCTTTAAGTCAACTATCTCAGGACTTCAGGGAGTATCGACTCGGTCAACATTCATGATGAAAAGAAAGTCCTCAAGCAGAAACCGAGGCTCAAACGTAAAATGTTTGAAAACCTTCGTGGATAATGCACACGAGGAAAGGTGTTAAATGTGAGAAATGCTGTGATTCGCACAACAGATGTGAAAGCGGGCCGTCTAATAAAATGATCGCTATCGTTATGACTATTTTTAATTGCTAGTACTTCTGCTGGTTTGAAAGACTAGCTAAATAAACAAATAGATAAGTAACAGGGAGCTAAGCCAATAAATAAACAAACATATAGATAAACAAGTAAAATTTAAATAATAAAATAAAAGTGAAAAGTATTCTAACATGCTCAAATGCCGCCTTGATTCCACCCAGATTTACGTCGCCAACAAGATCCACAGCCGTCTTTTGTATGTCCACATCACCTTCGCCCCGTTCGAAACGTTCTTTGAAGCCTTGTAGTTCTAAAAGAAGTATCGCTATAATACTCGGCTTTTATACAGCTTCTATGGTTTCCACTTGTTTTTTGACTCTGTCGAAGAAAAACCCCTAAATTGATTGCTTTTATACTGCATGTGAATTTCGAAAGGGTGAAGCGTTCGACGCTGATCAATCCCTGAAGGATAAGGGATCAATCTCTCAGCGTATTTTTATCCTTCTATACAGCCAATCTGGCATGTACCTGTCGACGCCGGAAGGATGGAAGGCCTGGTAATCTCGAGTATGCAAGGCAGTTCTAACCACAGTGGTACACGCATGCTTAGAAATCCAATAAGTAAGAGATAATGCTCTCGGCGTTGATCTATCCCTGAAGGATGCGCCTTGCATTCAACTTCATTAACTATCGCTGGAGGTGATTGAATGCATGACTGGCCTTTACAATGGCATGTGGTGTCCTACCAATGTATCGAGCCAGTGCTGCTATTCTCTCAGACAAGTGTGGTAGCAATTTACCAACCTCAAGGAGATAGTGGACTTGGTGGATCTGGGGCGCGGGTATCGATCCCATGTGTATTACGAGGCACCTTCGACCAATGTTCTACACGCGCCTCTATCTCCTATTTTAAAAACCGTCATTTATTTCATATATTTTATTGTGAGGAGAAATTCCTAGGTGGATGAATGAAGTATGGAAGTAATTACTCATATTTCTACCTGCAATTGCTTTACTGCAAACCATCCTTTATTATCTGCATCGCTATAGAATGAAACCTCCACACCACAGAAAACACGCGCTTTGCTCAGTTGTTGGGGCCAACGGCGATTTCCAGGGCAAACGTATATCATTTAGTTGCCAAGATGACATGCGATTCGGTTAAAAGCAAGGCGACAGATTCATACAACTGACGAAGTGAACATCTTTTAAAATGTCCGACTGCATGCATTTCCATGGAAGACACCACACAGGAAGAACAGCTACCAAGCATTTCTTCAAAACGAAAAGGGGAAATGAACCGCTACCCTAGAAAATCGTTTTTTACCCCTTGTTGAGGAGGTCAATGGTATCCTTTATACTACTTCCTATATAAAAGGATTAAGGGTAGACGTTATAGCTGCCGGTGGTAATCAACCCATTACGGATTCAGAATTCATTCGGCTTCATCAAGCAACATTAGAGTGTACTACTGGACTCCACAATGATTGGTGGTAGCCTACCGATGTCTAAGGTCGATGTTTTCATCACCATAGATAAGTCTGGTTATAAGTTGCCGACCGCGGAGGGAATGAAAGCTAGATGAGCTCCGGGCGCAGATTCGTATTGTTAAATCATCAGTGTTCGTGTGATCGTTCGACGAATTTTGAGACTTACCGCCGTTGTTAGCCGAAGGGATCCTAGACGCAGGTCAAAACACTTCTATGCTATCCACAGTGACCGGCGACTAGTTGCGATGGAAGAGAAATGGCAAATCAACATTGAATTTCAAGAAAAACCACGCTCGATCGGCATTCAATCGAAGACATCTTTAGATCGGGAAGGCAGCGATGCATCTACAATACGCTACGGATGGAGATTGCTTCTGACTATATAAATACAACGCAAAGTCTGATTCTCAAGTGCATCGTAACCGCTGAATATTCCATAGCTCCCCAAGCATGTGAAAAGCGAACCAGTCGTGTTTCAGGAAACTGCAATAAGAAAGCTGATTCTTATGATTGAGTATACACCGTAATATTACACATTTCAAGATCTGTGCTGATTTTCATGATCTCGAAAAACTGAGCACATTCTCACATTTTTCTCTCAATCTTGCTTGCAAATCCACTTTCATGAAAGCACAACCGCTCCAAAAAACCGCTGAAATTGAGAATTTGTTTGAAGAGGAAGCAACAAAAACGAGAACAAAGAAATCTGCGGAGGCATGGAAGTGTTGAGAATACTTATGGTCTAGGCTAACGGTAGCCTATTGCTCACGATGAATTTCTAGCAGAACAGCAGATGGAAGTCATTCACCGTTCCTGTCAATCAGCCAGCGTTCAGCAAAAAAACACACGACCCAGCTGATGGTGGGAATTTGACGTTCCCGTGCTACTGTAACGATTGAATAAATAATGGTACAGAAGTGTTCACGGACATCTGGCGAGTTCGCAATGACTCCATGATTTATTAGTGAGGAGGAAAAAAGAAGGAGATGTGTTTTATGAATTTCCTCACAGTAATGTGGTCAAACATAGAGTTCGATGTTAACACCACTAAGCATCGCAATGGTGATTGAATGGATGTTTGGCCTACGCCTTGGTCTTTCTGAGAAACTTACGTAATTAACAACAAGCCAAAGGCCGAAAAAAAAACCTTTAAAGTGTAAAAACTTGTTAAAACAAGGGCAAACACTGAAGCTCTCGGCGTTGATCAATTCCTGAGGGAAGCGTCATGCGTTCGACTTCATTAGGCATCGTTAAAAGTGATTGAATGCATATATGACTCATATAATAACTCACAGTGGTCTACCGATGTATACCGTCAGTTCTGCTATCCTTCCAGACAGGTCTGGTACCAGTTTGCCGACCCTGTGAGGATGGAAGACTCAACGAACCTGGGGCGCGGGATCGACCCATTTGTACTGCAGGGCGCCCATCATCACTGCACTACACGCACTCTTTTTATAGAAAAGTAATACTTCTATTTTTACAATTTTCTTGGAGCATATTGAAATATTTTGGTGTTCTAATAATTTTTAATTGCAAAACCCATTGAAGAACGTGATTTTGCAGTTAACTGTGATATTTCATCCTTCAAGGGATTCTATTTCATTCATTTATTATCTATTCAATCATCAAGTAACTCAAATGTCTCAGCTTGTCTCTGATGGCGCCACATACGAGCTCCATTAGCTAAACGGAGGTAAGGAACATTTCACATTTCTCATAAGGTTCTCCGTTTTAATATTTTTCCGAAACTGTAAGTGGGAACAATAACAAGAATGCTGAAATATTATACGGTGCTACCAGCAATTAGCCGTCAATGGGAATGATCTGAGAGGCACAAATCGGCGTTGATTTCGGGTTTTGCTCATATCTCAGCATCATTGTGGTTGTATTTCACACGGCAACATATAGTGAAAAAAGAGTAGGCAGTAATAAATATTAAGCACAGCAGAGGAGTACTTCGTGTAAACTCATCGCCGTAAGATGTGGGGCGCTGGTTGTACCTAAGGATTGCTGTGAGGACTTCTCGAAATTCCTCCTATGTATCCGTTACCCGTTACTTGGTGGCATGTTTTTGAACGAATTAATCTGCAGGATGCAATCTGAGGAGTTACACCAAGCAATTAAACATTGATTGATCAGTGAGTGGGAAGATATGTGTCAGATCGGTGTGGGAAGAACCGACCAACCACAACCTGAATCAATCTGCGTTCTTTGGAAAAACAATGAACTTTTTCGTGTTTAAGTGCTCATCTATCATCATGGAATTCGTTACATAATACCGTGTCTAAATCCGCCGAAATTCTTCACACTAGTGTGGTCTCGATGGTTTATGTTCTTAAGACTCGGCTTTAGTCCTCCTCATTTTTACATTTATTAAGGTCACTTACGTTTGAATTGTAACTCTTCCAAATCCTTAGCACTTCTCTCTATAGCTGCAGTTTCGAACGCGGAACCTTGCATGAACGACTTTCTCGCCTCAGCTGCTCCTAGAAATCAGAATTTAACGAAATTTTCACCACATTGTAAGAATAGCGCACATTTTTATGAACGACAGCATAGTTCCACACCTAAGTTAGTATGTTTTTATTGCACAACTTTGCAGTATGAAGCAAAAAAGTGTGAACAACTGACATCTAATTTTTGGAAAGACTTGGAAAACAGTTAATCTCACGAATTTATTGAACGAACTAAATGAACGACAGAGTGTCAAATTTGGTTTTCAAAACGCTAAACTCAATCTGTAAAGAATAACAAAGCAGATGAGTGAGAATCGATCAAACAAGGAAGAAAATGAACATAATTCTGCCTTCAAGAAGAAGTGGCTCTCTAGTGGACCATAAAGCCCGTCGTTGATTTCAAGCAACGAAAATTCATGCCTAATCTTGATGCGCCCACCGTGGGACCGCTCTGTATGTTTTGGGTTTACCTTTCTCTTCTTTTTGACAAGTTCAGTGCTCATCGTATTCATTGTCTGATCCCTATCTCCTCAAAGGCAAATAACTCTTAAAACGTTAGTTGAATTATAGCTATACTTACAAACTTAAGCATATGGCATATTATATTGAACTCCTAAGCACGTTCATTTTATAAGAATCAGAATTGAAAATGAATTTCATGCTAGGACTCCAACATCCCATGGGCTTAGACGACAGGAATATGATTGACCGCGTCGCTCTTTTTTCTGCGCTTACTCTTTGTTAGGCTACCATGAGTGTTACATTATGAAACATTTTCAAGTTTTGCTTCAGTATTTCCCAAAATCGACTTTCCCTTAACCTTATATATATATATATATATATATATATATACGAAGCCATAATTGGTAATGAAGTATATGTGCATATAGATTACTTTGAATATGGAAGCCACCAAGAAGATAGAGATAGATATAGATAGCTTTAGAAAGAACTTGTAAAATGCAACATTCAACAGAAATCACTACAGAATATCGTTTCCTTATCAGGGTATATATATCAGGGTATTTATATCCTTATCCTTATCGCACGCATAGCATCCGGACTTTCTTAAATTAAAAACTTTTGAAGAAAACCTTTTTGTTGCAGAAAAGCTACAGCACACGGATAAATTACACGAACGGCGTGGTGGATGTGCAGCGTGCAAGCGTTTCACCACTGAAGGTGATTTTTGATGCTGTACTTAGACGGGACCGGATAAAACAAGGAACCAAAAAACTATGGTGACAATATGTACCTACAATACGCGTACAACTCCTCGATAGAAGAATTGCTCATGCAAGCGAGAAGGTTAAAGTACGACGTCATCGGCCTGGCCGAGACGAGAAGACACCAGCCTTTCAACGCCGTCTACGACACCGGAAAAGAACTGTTCCTCGGAACATGCGACGGTAGAGGAGTCGGCGGCGTCAGCGTTCTCGTCAACACGAGTTTGTCCATGAATATCGATTCATTCGAACAACTTACAACCCAAATCGGATGTTTACGATTAAAAAGATGTGGATCAACACCAACTTTGACAATCTTCGTCGTTAACGCGCCGACATCAAACTATGACGAAGAAGAAGTTAAAGCGTTCTATATGGATTTGGAGAAGTTCTACAGAGAATACCACATATTCTTCGACGCAGCGACCAAGTTTCTAACGTTTTGCTTTTTTAACGACGCAAGTTTTGCGAACCGAGGTCGCTGTTATCCCAAAACTCTACACGGGAGCAGATCATTGCTTCCCTCTTGCAAATTTTATTCCTCGCGGAAAGTAGAGAAATCCGATAAATTCCAAAACGGAAGCCCCAGAACCACCGCAAACTTGGGCTTTTTCAATTCTTTAGTCGGCAGTTGGGAAGATGCCGTTGTCGATAACATCGAGGAAGAATACGATCGGCTCGTTCAACATCTTCATGTTACCGCTATGAAAGCTAAGAGTTCGAAAGTCACCAAGAGACTTCTGTCTCCAGAAACACTCGAGCTGATAAGCCAGCGTGGAATCGCACGAGCATCAGGCAACCGCGAACTAACGTCCGAACTTGCAAAACTATACAGACAGACGGTAAAAGAAGATCTTAAAGATAGAAGTGCAGCAGTAATGGTCGAAGTTGGAGAGGGTGAGAAAAGCGTTCGCAAAACCCATCAAAGTTTCGCCAATTACATGACCAAAATGATTGCACTCCAGCGCCCAGACGAAACATTCACAGTACAGTGTTCAGAAAGGCAATGGAGAAAACCAATCACGAATACTACTCGGATCTCTTCGATAGCCGCGTCCATCTTTCGTCATACGAAATAAAGGAGGATAGAAATGTTGCACCACTGGTTCTCCCTTCCGAAAACCCACATGCTTTACGTCCGTGAAAACCGAACACCATCAGGTCCGAACGAAATAGGACGAGAACATCTGAAGAACCTTCCGTCAGTCCTCGTAAACACACTGGCTCAGCTCTTCACATGTTACCTGTCTGAATGCAAGGTTCCTACTCGGTGAAAGACCAGCTGGACCGTGTTAGTGTTCAAGAATGGTGACCTACGCGATATCGGCAACTATCGCCCAATCTGCTTACTGTCTGTCGTCTACATTTTCATTCGAGTCATCCTAAACAGGATTGACAGAACACTAGACGAAGGACAGCCAAGTGAGCAAGCAGGGTTTCGAAGAGGATTCAGTACGATAGACCACATCCACACAGAAAGAAAGCTTATTGAAGTATCGTGAAAGTACAAAAGACCGCTCTGTCTCACCTTCATCGATTTACAGAAGGCCTTTGATTCAGCTGAGATAGAAGCAGTCGTGGAAGCCCTTAATAGTGAAGGAATCCCTACTTAGTACATAAAGATTGCTCGTGAGCTGTAAAAAAATTTCACAACCAAGATATCACCGTTCTACAACGATATTAACATCGACGTCAAAAGAGGAGTTAGGTAAGGCGATAACACCCTTGCCGAAATTATTTAGCGCCACCCTCCAAAACGTCACGCGAACATAGGAATCGGATAATATGGGAATGAAAACCGATGGTCGGCAGTTGCACCATCTTCGTTTTACTGATGACATGGTCCTTATAACACCAAACATTAGCCAAGCGGAACACATGCTTGACGACTTTGATAAAGTCTGTGGAAAGATTGGTCTTCGACTAAATCTCACAAAAACGATGTTCATGAAGAACGGATTGGTTTCGCATGCCCTATTCACGCTCAACGAAATGAATATCTCCGAATGCTCCAGTTATATCTATCTAGGTCGGGAAATCAATGTCATGAACGACCTAGCTCCAGAGCTGAGCAGAAGAAAACGAGCGGCGTGGAGAGCTTTGAAGATCATCAAGGATGTAGTGAAGAGAACAAAGAACACCCGACTCCGGGCCCACTTTTTCGACTAAACGGTACTTACTTCCCTAACGTATGCGTCAGAAGCCCGGTAAGGGTAAAAGGTTATCGAACGTTATCGAACGTGTAGTCGAAAGGACGATGATAGGAGCATCCCGTTCTACACAAGTAAGGGATAGGACCCGAAGCTTCGATCTGCGTCAACGACCAAAAATCAAAGATACCGTTCTGTACGCCAAACAGACGAAGATAAGGTGGGCTGGACACGTAATGCGTATGAACGACAACAGATGGACAAGAGCCGCTAGTGACTGGACTCCACGGGATGTCAAGCGTACTGCAGGGAGACCACCGATCCGATGGTCAGAGTTATTCACGAAGAGCCCGGAAGGAAAACTTGACGCGTGACAAGTCCCTAGAGCGAGCAGAACCCACTGGGCTAGTCTTGCACGCGACAGGGATAAATGGAAGATTTACTGGCGCCCGCTAGAGTCACTCGACGGTCAGCGGGACTACAGATGATACAGGTACTTAGATGGACAGCAGACAATAAAGTGACGGCATCGACAAAGGAATATGGCAAACTTCTCTTTTATTTAACGAAGCCAATTTCGATTGATATCTTAGGGCAATCATATTGGTACCTAGTCTCTATAAGACCTATTAAAAGCTAGAACGTCGACTACACTGATGTGCTACTAAAGTGAATGACTGACATAAATCCAGAAGTCACACAACTGCGGTAGGCACATGAGTGATGAACTCACCGGCCGTATCTAGTTCACTACGATCCCAATGACGTTCGACAACAGTGTCCGATTCGTTGCGCTCATGGAATCGCTCTTTCACAGAAGGTCCACCCTTAAATAGAGGATTACGGTAAGAGAAATAAGCGTGCGTGTTAGTGCTTACTGTATTCACCGAAAATTCCTGACATTCTACTTATCTGTTAATTGCATCCAATTGACCGCTAAAAATTCGGAAACTAGTGGAGCTTGCCGCTAACAGTATTCAACCATCATAGAAGAGAAGAAATACAGAAGAAATTCATGGAAGAGGAAAGAGATGTGATTCGAAAACGCATGGAAACGAATAAAAATTCCAAAAATGAGACTCCTCCATAGCTCATGAGCGACCGAAAATGTTTAGGCAAACTACACATAAATGCAGAAATATAGTTGATTAACGATATCTAAAAGTAAGTAAGAAAGTCACGAAAGACGAAAACTCGTGTAAGAAATAAAGCATTGAGTCAAAAAATTCTCCTCTGTTTCACCTTCAGTTGCTCGAGTTCTTTTCGTTCGGCTGCTTCCTTATGCTCTGCTGTCTCCACTTCTCCAGTCTTCCACTTATTCTTTATGTCACCAACCTAAAAGTGCAAGCAGCCAGACGTCTTGTATGTAGGAGAACTGACAAGAATAAAACAAAGAAATCTCTTCATAAGTGAAACAATGACATGAATAATATTTTCACCACCTAGAAAAGATAGATAGTAGTTCTTCTGAGATGGTTGGAGAAAGGAAAGCCATTTACAAAAACCATGAACATAAGGACTATCCTGTATATTATTTTTGAGCAAGACTATAGCAACTCTCAGTGCGAACCTGAGCAAAGTGTAATTCTTCCTTTTTCTTCTTTTTGTTCTCCCTGATAATATTTGGATCGCGTCCACTTTCTTCTTCTTCACCGTCTTCTTCCGGACCTCCGGTTAAAAACCTGAAAAAATCCTTTTCAATAGGATAAAAATGTTGACCGATGGCCCGAACGATAATTACAGTCATTTTCTCATGGGTGTCGAATTGTTAAAGTCCAAGGACTTTTGAACTCAGCAGGATTTCTCATGAGGACATCACAAGGCACCATCTGACCTCATTTGAGAGAAAATGCTTGAAAATACTTATATTTTCTCTAACGATAGTTATGATAAAACTTTCTTTTAGAAACTGTTCCTGTTAGAAAAGAAGATAATAGACTAATTATAACCCTAAAGTTTGGATGTTCGACGCTGTTCAGTTACTTATGTTTTAATTATACTGCTTTATTCCTCTAACGAAGACGTTTACAAAAGGTTGCAAATATTCAAAACCTGGAAAATTGGGTAACTGAGCATAAAAATCACTAAAATAGTCTTTAAACAAAAAAATAGAGTCAAGTTTTAAAAAGTTGGTATTTCCATTTATTCCGGAAAACATGAGTCTGATTATTGTTGGTAGCTATTATCCCTCAATAGAGGTCATTAATAACGACAACCACTAGACTATTAAATCTCTTCCGGCATTCAGTCTAGAATTTATTCTCAAGTCATTTCAACATAGAATACTAATAGCGAACTCTAACGCGCTTGAAAATCCTGTGGAAGAGCGCTAGTTACGAAAATTGTGTAGTAGACTTACTTCTCCTTATTGGCTTTCACCATACCAGCTTGCAACACTTCATCCTCGACCTACAAAAAGATATTTAAATTTATTTTTACCTGGAAAGGTGGTAATAATGTTAAAATGTGATAGGCTTGATAATCATCTAATCAAAAGGGATTTTGGTCTCTGACTGTCTCATTTTTTTTAGCTTCGATAGCTTCAGTGAGAGAAAATCTTTTGTCTCTTAGCAAGGATTTCCAAACACTGTAACAACTATCCAGCGACCATTAGCCAATTTTGCAGTCCTCTGAAAAGAATTTCTAAACTCTCACTAAATTTTGCTTAACTTTTGATTGAATTTTTTTCTCTTCATGATTTAAATTCTCATACAAATGCACAACTTCGATCTCAAACTGCAGAGGGTGCTCCAATAGAATGAAGAGAGAGAAAGAAGGAAAAAGGATTTTGCAGTAGCTGGTTTATACGAATTTATTGATTATAGTAAACTAAAATAGGATGCAGTTGAAAAAGAAAAAAAAGAAAGTCAAGAAAAATAGCTCTAGTTCAACATTTCGACTTTGGTTACATTAAAGGACTTCTGAATGCTGTACAAAACGTTGTCATTAGAAACTTCTGGTCATCAATGACGTTCGTATTGCAGCTTTTGCCACAAACGATCTCTCTTCTCCAATTTCATCGGTTTCAATGTTCACCGGCTGAATACCTATGATATTTGCCAAAGACCAGCCCAGACTAAGTGCTATGTTTGTACTAACATGACTAGCAGTGGTTCCTACGTGTTGATATGCTCAAATAACAATCTATTTCGTCGTTCTCGAAGCCGAAGAGAAGTCTATGATAAACGAGAAAAAAAAGCATTGCTGGAATCTTTTAGAAATCTAGAATCTGAAGTGTAAACCAACGTTGGTCGATGATTTATAAACTATAATGTTTCCCAAAAAAAGACTTTGTTTATACGAAATGTTTATTGTGGCAAACTACTACGGTATCTGCCCAAGCTTATCATTTTTGGCATTGAAATTTCATCACTTATTTCCTGACGAAACCCTTTTCCTGACAATGATCCCATTCTAAGTTCGGCTTGGAATGACGGAGTAGATGTGAAAACTGGTCCAGGAAATTAAATTCGCAAGCATTTCGAGTTGCTATGACAATCTTTATTGAACTGAGGATTTTCAAGTGACTTGGTTTTAAAAAGAGAAAAAAATTGGGAATAGCGGCAAATTCGAAGTCTCTATTTCCGGATGTGCATGTTCTTTGTTTCAACGACAAGAACCTTTGGCAACACTTAAAATTTCTAAGAGGTTGGATTGGGATAAATAAAAAGAACTGTTAACTTTTTCATTTACTGCCTATTACAATTTTTAATGGCTGGGTATTACATGTGATACAACCACAACGATCCTGAGATATTTGCAAAACTCCGGACCGCAGGTGTCTGCGGTGGAGAACGAACACACTATTGTCCTTTCCGGGAAGAAACGCGTTCATCACCATACTACGCAAGTGCTTCGTTTCGCCTGTCTCCCAGGTAGTTCTATCGATCAGCGTCATCAGCAATCACCCGTCAATGGGATTGATATAGGGAGCCCAGGGCAGCCAATAAAGTAATAGGCTGTAAATAAACAGGTTGTGATTGTGATTTTAACTACAGCCTCAGCTTAATTGGGTTCGTTGCCGACTTGGGCTCCTTAGATCAACCCAGCTGACGAATGATTGCTGATGGCGCTGATTGATAGAACTAGCTGAGAGTCAGGCGAAAGGAAGGACCCGCATGGGGTGGTGCTGAACACGTTAGCACCCGGAAAGGGTAATGTAATAGGGAGTTCGTTCCCCACCGCAGATACCTGTGGTGCGCAGTTTTAAAAAAAAAAGCAGTGTAAACGAGAGAAGTTTATCATGGTTCCGCTATGCAAATTTGAAAAAGAAGTGGTAGAGTTCAGCTGCGAAAAACAGGAAGAGTTTATTACTTAGTGGCTCAAATGTCGGAATTCAAATAACCAGTTATCTCAACCGGTTTGGTAATCGAAAATGGAGTATGTCCCATGAAATTGGCTGCTATTCAGGTTCCTTACGTCAAGGGGCTGCCCGGAGACAAAATTATGAGTGAACCAATGCAATGGCAGAGTACGGTTAGCCACTTAAGCGCAGCATATCACTAATCGTAGTAACTTGTGATCGGTGAACGAAATGGAGTTTACCTGTGCTAGATCGAGTTACTCGATGATAACCAAGAGCACAGATAGTAGACGTGACGGATGAAATACAGAATACCGAGAATCACCCATTATTCTAATGTTGCGCAGATGGTATTGAAAAAACGAAACAGTGTTCGCATACGCTTTCAATGTGGGTGCATGTCATACTGTTTACAATTGCCTCGTAATCGTTGACTCGATCCTGGACACTAGGGAAATCAAGCCTCCCACCCCTGAGAATGGAAAATTTGTGTCGGACTTGCCTGGGATGGAGAAAGACCGATTTCACCGATTTTAAACAACCAGAAGCCGCCGCATGTCATTGTATGGACCAGATATGCATCCAGTCGTTTCTGCGATGCTTAAATGAAGTCAAATGCATAGAAAATCCCTAAGGAATTGACGAATGCTGAACGCTTCATCCTTTTATACGCCGCCAATGTCGTGATCATCACACTCGGAATTCAGCATCATTAGGGTTGACTGACGTCTTAGCGTGACAATCACCACACAAACGTCGTCTACGCGTTGATTATATCCAAATAGGTTGGTGGATGTGAACTGGAACGTCAGTACGCGGGTTGGGCTAGCAATGCTCACGCGATCTAAAAGAATTATTCGATGGAGAAAAATGGTAGTGGTGGAACAAACGGCAAGATTGAACGATAATGTGGATAGGTGAAAAACACAGTAAAGAATTGCCATTCAAAAAAGGTGAAAGGCTAAACAGAACTGGATTTCAAAACAGAAGCTCTTCATTTGAAATAAGAATTGCATAAAAAAATTTAACACGAAATGAAACCAATATCACAGGATAAGCTCGTAGAAATCCTCATGATCACTAATAAATGGAAACCATTAACAGTTTACTAAACATCTTAAAAGAAGAAGATTTGGAAAATTCATAAATTATAAAGGATATCGACTGTTAAGCAAATACCACCAATCACATAAAACTTCTCACTAAGGATTTTTTATCATTGTTTTACCTCGCGCGGGATTTATATCGCTAACTACACTATTTGTTAGCCACACACAACCCACCCATATCGTACTTATAACATCCTATCCAGCAATGTTTTGATGAATGACTGGATAAGGGTTTTCAATACTTTTTAAAATGCCGGCGAAAGATGGTAAAAATAGATAAATTGTTCGATAAAGGACTTAAAATAATGAAAGATGATCGACTGATCTCAAGGACGTAAAAATAGGTGAGAAAAACTCCTTTGAAAAAAAAAAAGAAAACACTAACCTTTGTAAGACGTTCCACATGAGCCGCCTCCTTTACGGACGACTCGAAATCGCCTTTTTTCGACTTGAGACTCGTGATTTGCGCCAGTTCGTCTTGTACGGCGCTCGTGCCGGCTGCAAATATTTTGTTATAAAGCGCAGTTCGTATCGACCGGTTCGTTAGATTCTGAATGATAAAACCCAGAATAATCTGGTTCGAATCTGCACCGGGATCGTAAACAAAAAAAAAATGACGTCGATCGCTAGAATGCAATGAAATGGAACGAGAGGAAATCAGATAGTGCTAAGATTAGGACGATGTGTGAGAGTTCCACTACCGTATCCGCCCCAGTACTGATTTCTCTAGCAGGTCAGCGAGAGTGACGGTGAAATTTGAAAGATTTCGAATGGGCGATGAAATATATTCATACATAAATGAGACGGCCTGCGCTGGTTAGAACAGGCAGGCAGATCGGTCAGGATAGCGGACGACAATAGTCGAGAGCGAAGGGAGCGAAGAGAGCGCCGCTGACGTCGCTCAAGAGCTGACGACCCCCATAGACCTCGTTCTCATATCGCATGTGTTAATACTTATCCAGTGAGACGCAACCAACAGAATAGTGAATATATACAAGAAAATTTATTACTCGCTCTACAGTTGATTGTGTTATGAATAAGGCAAAAGTTCCTTTAATGTTTAACTGGGAGAAGTGTTCTTTCCTTATTTTAACTGTGTTATTTACTGCCTACTCTTTTTAATGGCAGGGTATATTGTGAAACATAATTGTGATTATAACTAAATCCTCAGCTTAACTGGGTTCATTGCCGATTTGGGCTCCTCAGTTCAATCCCGCTGACGGGTGATTGCTGACGGCAGAAATTGCTAGAACCAGCTGAGAGACTGGCGAAAAGAAGGACCCGCATGGTGCCGTGGTGAACGCATTTCTTCCCGGAAACGACAATAGTGCGTTCGTTCCCCACCGCAGGCGCCTGAGGTCCGGAGTTTTGAAAATATCTCAGCATCATTGAAGTTGTTCTTCTCCTACTCAAGCAGCTCATAGGAGAATTATTCTTCCTTCTCTCTATTGAGGGTTTCATATTCAAACAATAAACTTTTTGGCCGAAGGCTTGAAAGGTAATTTCACATCGCCATGTTCATCTGTAAAGAGAAATTTCAGAAATAATGGCGAATCATCACCAGTTTTGAGCAAATTCCAAAAACCTTATAAAGAGAGAGGAATACAGGACTATAAAAGCTATCAAATCTTGCTGAACGGTAAGGCAAAACTTCGATATGCTTTATTATCAAAAGATTTAAACTGAAAGATTTAATAGAACTTCCTTTCTTTGGTATCTTCATGCATTTTGTGAGGCCGTCTTTCATTTTGGAGCGTCCCTCTCTCTCTACCTCTCCTTCTCTCAACTAATTATCTCAAACTATGAAATTCTTCAATAAAATAAATGCATAAATTTCATAGGAAAGTCTATTAGGCGCAATTTCACAGACCAGATGGTGAATTTGACATTACGAAACGCATTAATTCACGCTACAAATGACCGTTGACGATTGCGCGCTGTTTAAAGGACGTAACGGCGGCTACTGGAAGAAATCGTTCATCTCTTAGAGGAAGAAGAAGTACTGATACGATCCCAAGGAAATTGTTACGGCAGAAAATAAATCTCAAAACAAACAACGACAGAAAACGTTAATAAAATCTTCCATGAGTAGGAAAAGCCATATTCAACAACATTTGCAATTGCCTGGACGAGATCTGTGAGTAACGAACGTTGGAGTTTTGCGCGATTGAAATCTGGATCAAGATCGGTTGAATCGGAAGAAGTGCGAACACCGTTAAACGGTAATCAGATAGATTAGCCGCACTGATAGAATATTTCGATCAATACGCATTTGTCTCATTATGATATTCAGAAAATACGGACATTGAGAGCCGGACAGCAATACGTGCCACTAGCCGGCATTTCGCTGACCGTTTTGTTACTTAACACTATATAGAAAAAAACCTACTGTTTTATGCATTATTCCAAGACTTCATATTTGTTTGCCTCAATTTTTTTAGGACATATAAGGGCGCAATCCAATTATAGATGCAAGGCAATGAAATGATCGGAAAACAGAAAACATTATAATGCAAAATTCGGCAGTTACAAGTGATGCTAAGAGAAAGCTAGAGAAGAGCACAATAAGTCTTTCTTTCCAGTTCCTTCTCAACTTCAATGCGAGACGAGTAGGAGGAGAAATAAGGCGGCCGGAAATCATCAGTGAAAACGAAGAGTCTACTGCAAGGCTGACATAAGGAAGTCTGTGAAACAATTCAAACTAGGCGACACCAACAGACACACATGTCGTTGGTTCTATCCTCGCCCCTACGCCAACTAAGTATTCTATCCCTCCGGGTCGATCAATAGGCAGCAAACCTGTTTCGGGTCGATGGATAACACCATATAGACGTATCCGCCGAGTGTGTGATTCTGTTTGTCGTCGTAGATATATTGTTACAATATATTTCTGTAAGTATAACTCTCCGTAGTGAATTTCTATGAAATTCGTCTACGTTAGGAATTTTCCTTGTTCATCCAAGCTAATATAATTGTCTCAAGAGGGTGAGTGTGATGCAGTGGTTGGAGGCGCCTTGCAACACACACAGGGGACCGATCCCCTCACCCGTGGCTCACCAAGCCTTCCATCCCTCCGGGGTCAGCAAACCATCCCTCACGGATTGATCAACGCAAAGGGCTTCATCCTTTTCTTCTTTAATAGAATTATCTCAGCATATATTAGGTTATTCGAAAATTAATACAAGATTTTAATCCGTTTTTTAAACGCCATGCCTTAGCTCAGATAAACTTCTCATTCCCAGAACGGACTTTCTTCTAAGTTTGACACTAATCAACAGTACAGTTTTCTTAATGAGCAAACACGAAGTTGGAATTACAGCAAGAAACGATGTATTATGTGATGGTAGAGCACCCGAAAGAAAAAATTACTGTCAAAGCACATACAAGAAGAATAATATTACAAATCCTGCAAGAACATTCAACCTAATATTTGAACCGGAAAACCACTATTCTGCTATCATAGTAAGGCTATCTGAGTTGAGGAGTTCGACATTTTTATCTAAAAGCACGGACGAGAGTAGACCAACGTCAGACGGCAGGGATGTGCTTTCCGATTTATAGGAATCCTTAACTGCTTGTTGTGATGAACTGGACCGTCTAGTTAACGTCAGTTTTAGGATTTCAGAAATGAAAATCCCGCCTCAACAGCAAAACAATCAAATGCAAATTGATCGGATCCATTCTCCACGATTCTTCAAAAAGGGAATTACCACATATTTATGTGTTAGACTGTTTACTGTGCTGTTAGCATAACGTATGCAGTTTAACACCATCACTTAGTCTAAATATTTTTATGATTTCCACCAGTTTGAGCTGGAATTGTGGTTTTCTCGCATTAAAGCTCTCAGCAGATGTGATACTTTTATGGGAATCTACAAGTAAGAATTTCTGAGATATAGGACTTTTGAACAAAGTAAATTTTTCTAGCGTCCGGACTTAGTTTCCATTTAGAGTTATCACTAACCCAAATTCGTATAAATTCGTATTCCCAAATTCGTACATTTATGCTAAGAATAACCGGATTTAGTTTTTTGCTGTTGCTGTTTTTGCAACGAATCTATGTGGTGTTTAATCGAAGTGAAAGAAACGTTGAGGCTATCTCTATATAGATGTGTTTCAAATTCCACACTCTTGCTTTAGTTTCCGTAGTTTCTATAATATATCATACAAAGTAGATTGTGCGGAATATTGGAGTATTCGGAATTTGTGGGGAGATCTTGACTTGTCTGCCAGACTCCTCACTTTCCGTTTCGTCAAGGGTCAATTAGACCAACACTATAAACAATCGCTCTTCTCGCTGAACACCAACTGTCCAGTCGGTGATCTTAAGAGCGGATTATCGTTGTTATAAGAGAACACGATTATAGGACTCGTCTTCTAAAACTTCAGATTACGGTGAGGGCTTCGTAACAACAATTTCTGTTGCAAAAAGTAGAAAACACTGGAAAACAACAAGAAATAAGGTTTCAGATAATCCTCTAAGTATGCGAAATATTCGGTCATGTCAAGAAAACTGTAGAAGGTGCTGAAGAACAATGGTTAAAGGTGAAAAGCTGAGAAATGGCCGCTGACAGCAAAGTGAAGGTCTAAATGGCAGTACTGCTCACTAGCACCTAAGAAATTCTACCTCATCTAATAATTGATTAAATATGTGGAATATGGAGCTTCTAATCCGTGAACTGATACTCACATTTTACCACTCCTTGAAGTTGTTTCGGTTTATTGCTAACGGCAAACTCGTCATCGTCGTCGATATCACCACCGTGCTCCTCTTCTGAAATTCGTGAGATCTTCTGTGAATTTTTGATTTTTCTTGTTCTAAGAGTTTTGTAATAGTTGCATGGAAAGTATCGATTTTACGGATCGTCAAATTGATTGTTTACATGCTGCGAGAGAGATTTCGTATGTCAGCGTTCATCACAACGCCCGCAGATTCACATCACAGATAAAGCGTCCCGAGATAACGTTCATAGTGACCTTGAAATTTGACACACAATCGATTACATGGAACATCAAAACACCATACAAATCAGCTGGAACCACGCTAACCATGAAATAAGTCGGACGGGCTAATGCAAGCTATTAATGTAGCGCGCCAGTGCTGCCCAGTAGCCCCACTCAATTTACTAGAGCGATACCAAGTGCGTCACATTGTCTGTGTTTCTGGGTTATATATGTATATGTATATGTATATATATATATATACTTATAAATAACTTTTCAGGACTTCTAAGTCACATAATTGTAGAATTTTTGCATGATGCTGTGTATAAGCACATTGAGCACGCATGCATCAATAATACAACTTGTATACGGCATGTATAAGGTAATCTACTAATCCGAGAGACTGGAACTCATTTCTCTGGTTCAATCGAGCAAATGTATGGGCGCCTTATTATAGTTTGCAACATTACGGTGGGCCAACTGGAGACGGGCCATTCGACTTCGCCGATAGGAATCCTGAGACAACTCTTATGAATCAGATCTATGTAATAAATGGACGAGAAGCTAAACAAGATAATAAATTGAATTTTAAGGTCTACACTAGTATATAAATGTAAAATGTTAAAACTGTAAGGTTAGTATAATGTTAGTGAGTTATAACCTTCCTCAAATCTTTTCTAAAGAACCAGTTTCTACTGGTGTCGGCAAAATTCTGCACATATAAAGAGAGAATGCTGTCATATCTCATTACAAATTAGTGAACTAATTGTACATTTAGATTAACGTCACGAGCATAACGTTCACTTCAAATTCAAAATTTTCGTTCCCAGTATCCAACGAATCATGTTCGTCCCGCAGACCACACAAAATACTTTTTCTTACAGTTCACATAGAATATTCGACTAGGTAAGGCACACTTCGGTGTTTGCCTCCCAAAACTTTGTTAAAATCCGATAAATCCGTAATTTTTCAAAAACATCTTTCCAGTATTCTCACAGTTCTTTTTGTCCTTAAGATTGTGCACGGGGTAGTTGTTAGAATTTCAACAAAGCAGCAGACTACTAGAGGCTTGCCTTCAGTGTTTGCTGGATCCATTGTCTTTGCGATTTCAGGATGAAACACCTCCAGCATATGCACTTTACACAAAAGCGCTCCTTGATGCGAATTGTAATTTGTAGGTCTGAAAACAACCAATCAGGTTACCCTTGTGGGGTATTATAGCATCTCAAGTGTCATAAAACGAGAACAAAACCTTATCGTTTCTTTTTATTCTTTTGTTTAAAAAGTAAAACATATGTTGTGAATAAGTGCACAAGTTTCACTTTTTACTTCTTTTCTGTCTTTCATTTTTGAACTCGTTTAAAATCGACCCATTTCGATTATAACAACAATGGCATCTCCAGTGCATAAAGGGTCAAACAAAGAACTTTAAAAGAATCGTTTGATGTGAGTGGTTTGTCAAGAAAAATTGTTTTCAGCAAAATAAAATTGTTTGACTGGAAAGAAAAGAATTAAGAGATTTAGAAAAGAAAAGAAAGATTTCCTTCTATGGTGCAGAAAAATCGTGAAGCTGGCTAGCTCTCTTTTCGAATTATTTTCAGTCCTGTTCTTCTCTTGCTTAAGAGTACTAAGCGAACATTGACAGCACATTGAAATTCCGCTGGTAAAAACGTCATCTACAAAAAGGGAAAACCTAGACTTCAAATTAACATGATGAAACCAATTTTTAATTCCATATCCTTAGACAAAATCGTGGTCAAAACCTTTCCTTCGTAGAAACATATCAAGTTTTATACGGTGCTTTTAAATTAGAACTATGTAAGCTGCAGCTCAACAACCATTAATCATGATGAAGCGAAGTGAAGCTTAGATCTCAGACCACATATGGAAGAAAATATAGTTCAATATTCTATAGATTCAAATAACCTATCATAGGAAAGTCCGATGTTATTAGTAACATACATTGGATTACTAAAATAGAAGAGCTACACGTAGAAGGAAAAGCAGGCAGTTGTTACATTCCTTTTCTCGTGTTACCTACAAAATCTAGGATTACGTTGCAGTACGGTGTTGGTACGGGGCTAGACGAGTTACTTATAAGTTACTTACTAGTTCGGAGTTCTTTCAGTTTTACATAACCCTAGACCAAAATCGAAATCGCCAAAAACGATTGCTAACAAAAGGAAGTGCAGTTTAACGTGCCTAATGTAAACACAAAATTCGCCAGTGCCGTGACTATTGGTTTTTTTTTGAAAAGCCAGAGCTGCATTCAGGTAGAGCGTGCTGTTTCAGACTACCACGGCACACTGCGTACCAGGAGGACTTAAACGCATCTATAAATTGTCATGTCGTGGTTAGCAGCCGACGTTAGCCGATTGTCAACATTAATAATGTATGTGGTAGAGTAATCCTAATAATGGTCAGTCGTACGGAATTGTTGAACGACACCGACTCATTATGCACAGTGACGCTTTATCTCACAGTGTATAACAGCAGCGCTAACATTGCAAATAAAGATTAGATATTATGCGATTACAACGTCTAATTATTTATTTACTGCCTATTGTTTTTATATGACAGAGTATTATGTGGAATAAAACCACAATGATGCTAAGATATTTACACGACTCTAAATCCTAGGCGAGCCTCGAACCCCCGATTACCCTTCGGAGGCTAACGACTTTTCCAGTGCATCACCGAGGCCGTTGCTTTTCCTTCCTCTCAGACAGTTTTCAGCTTTGCCAGTAATGCATTGCCTACAAAAATTTTTACAAAATGTGTCCTTATTAGGGTCTTAAGAAAAAAATCACGACTGTTGTTAGCTATCAAATAACCTTAAAAACGTAAAGAAGATAGAATCTCTTATGGACGCACGATGTATCATCAGCATTCACTGAGCATTCTAAAGTTTAGTGAGTGTATATTTGGCCTGTATAAAGGCTTGTGTTGTTACCATGTCAGTATATTAATCCACGCAGAAAAACCGGATACCAATTGGTATAAGCGCGGGTTAGTTAACACGTGGCGTAGAATAGGGCCAATAATAATATACATTGCAAGACATCTTCAACCAGTGCGTTACACGCTCACCTTTAACAATACTGCATGCGTTATTAAGAAGACGAAAAGACGCCTGACGAAAATCTTTTCCATGTAAAGCGCTCTTATTAACTCTTACGCGACGATGTGACCTCTACAGGAGTCATTAGATGTGAACATAATGCTCGCTTACAACTTTAAACGAACATATCTCGGCACGCACTGAATTTTATTAAATACACTAAAAATTATTGAAATACATAGATCTTTGCTTATGGTGTGAATTGTTTTCCAGTGCAAAGACGAAACATGGTCCTTGTAGAGCCCGTGAAACTTAATTCTTTTAATAGTTCCCAGAATAGACTTTCTATTAACCTCGGCACTGGATTATAAAATCGTCGTTTCCTTTTTCAGCAATCGCGAGGTTGTTAAACAGCATATGACTGACGTTAGTGCGACTCTCAGCGGATGTTCTTCTTCGGTGGAGGACAGGTGAAAAAAAGCGGCCCTGTAGAAGGCGATTCTGCCAAAACGTCAGCTACGATGGTGTCGTATGTGTGTTATTGCGTAGAAGTAAACGTATGCTGTTTAACAACCTCTTTTCCTTTTAGTTTTTTAATTGAAATCTCGTATTTTGAGCACGAAAGTGACTGTCCAGTAAGAGAATATAATGATTCCCAGTGTACCGTTTATGTTGCTAACTGCCTCTATTGCTTTGAAAATTTTAGAAACTTCAAATTATGTCTTTAATTTTTTTAAAGTTCGAATCCTAAACGTATTTAAATCTAAAAGCGCGGTTCAGAAATTCTACACGCGCCTGGTAGTACTACAGATCAAAGCTGACCTATAACTCTACAAAGTCCTGAACTCCTGAAATACTCAAGTTGCCGAAAACTTATCGTCAGCTACTGAAAAGCCATCTTCGTCGCGAAAAGGTTAAAATATCGATTGATCAATGAATCCACGATAGTAATCGAAAAGAACGAAATTTTTCACTTCTCCAAAGCTACGGCTTATCAGGGAAAGTTGGTGAAGAGAAAGTCGTTAGAATAGAAAGAAGATTCTTTTTCTATAGAAAAAAGCAAACATCTGCGGAAGTCTTAGGGCTATGTACCCATGAACGAGTTCATGGATGTCTAAGCGATTAATAAATCGGATATAGTTGGTTTAATAGAAAGCTCAAGTCAGTTTTACTGGTAAATCATTTAACGTCAAGAGTACAGCATTGATGACGTGCCCCAAAATCAAGTTCGTACACTTGAGATAGTACGTAAGAAATGATAAGAGACTTCATTTCACAGAAGCGCGATAAGCGGACTATAGCTCTGATCAGACACAAAGCTGTCAATATGGATGACACTTAAGTGAGACGACATATATTGATTGAAGAAATGATGAATGAATTCCACATTTCCAGTGGTGTATCTGTTTTTTGCTTAATTCTATTGCGTTGCTAACAAAGCCGTTTTATATTTTCTATAAGCTCTGCATTCAAGAAAGGTCGGAAATTTTCAGAGAGTGAAAAAGATCTAGAGAATGCTTCTTAAACGTTGCTAGGCACCGAAGATCGCGAAACTCACGTTAACTTCTTTTCACACTTCGAACATTTGAAGCACTGATTATGATAAAGCTGTTTGTTGGCGAAAATACGCTCCACCGGATAAACCGTTTTGCCGCAAACAGCACAATCCTTCGGCGCATCGTCAGCTGTCATGTCCTAAACGGTTCAGGTTTTATCTGATCCTTCATTCCTCCAAATATCAAAAACATAGTACATTCGCCTATAAAGAGTCTGTAAAGCACCCAGGATCGACTTTCAACTAACCTCGGAATTGAATTATGAATCCCTTTTCTCTCTCAGCAATCGCGAGGCTGTTAAACAGCATACGTTTACTTCCATACAATAACACACATACAACACAATCATCCCTCTGTTTGTGCTGTTGAAGCGTTTGACCAAGTAACATGCGTATTAGTGTACCCTTCTAGGCTCTGAAGAAGGCGATTCTGCCGAAACGTCAGTTACGAATGTGTTGTATGTGTGTTATTGTATGGAGGTAAACGTATGCAGTCTGTAAAGTCTTATCAATCTAACATATAAGCGTATTGTCTGACTTTTATCTACTACCTATTCTTTTTCCCATGGGAGGAAAGGCAAAGCAAAGACCACCGTTAGTGTGGTGATACATGAGCCCACGGAAAAGGTAATCATGAGTTCGTAGTCCAACTGAGATGTCACGTTTTGGTCACACCGCGGCATCCTCGTGGTTATAAGCCTTCAGATTGGCAAGTATTTTGATAAATTCTATGGCCAGAATAACAGAGTGTCGACAATGGAACAGTTTGAGCTTTTCGTCAAAGCTTACAAAGACTTAAGTAGATGAAGACCGTATAGAAAAGGAATCATAGTGACATCGTCGCAATATTATCTAGCTGGTTTCTGTTTCACAATTTCTTTCTGCAGGAGAATATTTTACCAGTAGGCTGCGTTGCACAGCCCTGTCACACTTCAAAGAAGAAGGTCCTCTTGAAGAACAGCTTTACGCGATATATAACGCCTAGTGAAGTATAAAGTGTACGGATTGTTAGACCAACATCAATTCCTTAGGGATGCACCTTGTATTCGACTTCAGTAAGTATCGTAAGAGAGAATGAATGTTTACCTGTTTTATGCAATCACTTTGAATGTTTACCTGTTTTATGCAATCACTTGTGTTAGGTCCTGTTTCTACAGTCAGTGTTTAACCCCTTTAGAGAACTCTGCTGCCGGTTTGACGATCCCGGAGAAATAAAGGACTTAGTTTACTCAGATCACGGAACCGAACCGACGACAAATTGTGCAATGCATTATAAGGTGCCTCTACACACTTGCCACACGTGCCCTTTAATTGCACGATTCAAATATCATTAAAACTAGGGTTATAGGAACCGATTGGACCCACATAAGGAACAAACATTCCAATAATTTCCTTTAGGTTCATTTAATTAGCTAAGCCACGTACCCGATTAAAAGCTGCCTTCATTTTCTTAATGTCAGCACTTCGTTGAATCTCGATTTTTTCACGTTCGACTGTCGAGTCGTCAACACCTTTTTCGAATCTAAAACATCATAGAATTTTTTCAATAATTAAAAGTCATCAGCTGTTGGGCCTATCACGTGGACTAATCCGTAGGATCCTACAATTTTCTTTCTCGAAGCAAGAACCGAATAGTTTCATCACAATCTGTTCATAAATTAGACCACTGCATTGATATTACGTAATAAACAAAAAAAAAAACAGGAAAACGACATGAGTATGGTGAAGACTAAGAAGAAGGAGATAATTTTGTAGCTATTAAACTTCTGCAAAATCTGTTTCCTGGATATATTTAGCTTTCTAATAACATTGTCAGTGAATCGGAGAAGGTTTCGCTCTCCAATAAAGGTTACCACACATGTGAATACGTCCGCTTGGATTCAATTAGATCACATTTTTATATCATTCGCTATTTGCCTAAAGAATTAGAAGAGAACCAGTGAAGATGGGCCATCCAAGTATCCAAGTAAATGTTAGAAAACAACGGCTTCTTGAAAACGTTAGCAACTGTATCGACCAATAACCGCACTCTACTTACCAATTATCTTTAAAAAAAAATTAAGGAATTTCAGACATCTCCGTTTTCAGAAGGACTACATTTTCAAAAAAGGTCGCCGCCTAACTTTTTTTCACAGATATGGTTATTCCTGTTTGTACGCTGATAAAGAATGCAATAATTTGCTCTTCTTTTTAAGAGAAGAAAAAATACAAAAAGAAAAAATAAAGTAAAAAGGTGACGAGAAAAGAAAGTGTCTAAGGGATGAGGTTGCACGGCTCCTGTTCATAGACGTTGAAAAATTGACGTTTCGCTGCATTTCATCAAATATTCCTTAGTGTATTGTTGACGATGCTAGATGCATTTTCTTTTCTACTCATCCGCTTGCTTTCCGTCTTTACTATTTTTTTATTGCATCCTATATATTAGGTTTAAAAAATAATCGATCAGTTTTTGCAAACGGAAAAACTGCGCACAGGAGTGCGCGTGAATCACCTATAATTCATACAGCACGAAATAGGAAAGGAACTGAAATTGAAACGAAAAGAATGAATAACCTAGTGGAAACCATTCAGTATGATAAAGAAAATAATATAATATAATATAATAATATAATGATATAATAATGGCGAAGTCAGAAAAGCTTTAAGTTTTAACGGTGTAAGCAATTCATTCCCAACAAGTTATGGTTCAATTTTGGTGGTAAACAGCACGCTAAGGTGCAAGCGTGTAAGTGATTTGGCGTTTGTAATTTTCTTAACAACGTGTCATGCATTTGAATCTATAAACCATCGTAGCCGTATCTGAACACATATCCAGCTTAAACAATAACTTGAGAAGGCTTATATCAATGACACGCGCGTTTTCTGTTCTCTGAGATATCTGGTAACAATTTGCCGAACCGGGAGGCATAGAACTTGGTTGGCTCGGTATGCGAGGTCGAACTGGGAAGCGATTTAAACCACATGAAACCTATAACCAGAGTGAGAAGATACCCATTTTATGGTGTAGCTACACTGAATCAAATTCAGTTACAAATGACAGTGAGATGGACGGTATAAAACGTCCTTTACCAGTCATCTGGAAAGTGGAAACCCCAGGACCAAATCGTGTACCTACACTACCAGATTTATAGCTTAAAGATGAAAAAGAGGAGAGAAAGCACAAAAACCATAAAAGCACTTAGTTTAAACTGAAAGTGTTCGTTCACGATGAAAGCATATTCCGTCGTCGAGTTTTCAAACAATGGAAAAATTCATTCTCAGTTCACCTTTCTTTGGCACTGGCCAGTGTCTCTTTGCCCAAACCAATCGTATCCTTTTCCATTCGTTTCAGTTTTTCTTCTAGATTCTCTTCTAGTGTCGAATCAAGATTTTCGAATCGATTCTTGAACTTGGAATACTTTTCCTGTAAGCGATTTATACCGTCACACCTGATGGTAAAGTTCGCTCAACGCAGCATCACATAGAAATTTGAAAGTTTCTCTGTTTTCTTAAAAAAACGTATGAGCCAAAATTTAAGGATGGTGAGTGAGTTTGAAACAATACCACTTTAACACGAATGATGCTATGTATTGACTACGATGCATTGTCCCGACTGTTTATTTTGTTACAGAGTTTATTTTTATTTTCTGCTTCTTTTTATTCGATCGATAATGTATCTATCACAGATACAGTACCACCCGTGTTCTTTAATTAGTAGCCCTGGACCCTCAAAATTTTGCAGAAAACTCTTTTCGGACAACTTTTTCCGTGGGTGCCGCACAGAGCGAAAAGTTAGCTTTAGTTGCGCCCGAGTTTAACTCGACAGAAATTTGACCAGCGTTCTTTAAATTTTTTGCTATGTCCAAAAGAAATTTTTTTAGCACGGACGCGTGCAGTTTACAAGGAAAAATTAGCAAAAAAATAGTTCGAAATAGCATATGGCGAAGAGCAGGAGCATTCCAGCCCTATGCAACCTTGCATTATAGATTTTTTTATTTTATTTTACACAACCCGTCCTCAGATCTACTGTGCGAATCTCAGCACTTGCTCTAGGCTTGTTTTCGCAACGATATCCACGAAAGCCCTCGAACTTTTCGCTTGTGGATTCGGCTACTGAGGGATTGTCGTCTTGTTCACGAAAAAAGTTGAACACTTGACGAAACTAATACCATTAGAATCAAAAAAATTCCACTTCGACTGGACCATCTGTGGTACTAATATTCCCCACTCTTATGAAGTGCTGAGATATTTGCAAAACTCCGGACCACAGGTGTATGCAGTGGGGAACGAACACGCGCTGTTGTCCTTACCGGGGAGCAGCGCACTTCACCACTACACCATGACCCGGATGGTGTAGTGGTGAAGTGCGCTGCTCCCTGGTAAGGACAACAGCGCGTGTTCGTT